CTCTTGTTTTGGTTTCAGCTTTGATGGAGGTCCAGATTGATAACTTTATAGAAATGGTTTACTAAAATAAGAACAATATGGCTGTCATAATCAATGATAAGGCCATCAAACATTGCCATACACCTTAAGGGGAAACAGATTATGAAATGTCAATCCTCATTTCACACAGAAACTGACAAAACATCAAGTCTAATCGTATTTCATTTGCTCATATTAGCTGGTGCTCTGAGATTTCAAGTGTTTTTTTCAAATACATTATTCGATGAAACATGACAGCAGTAAAGAACTGGTTAATCATTTATTCGTATTTTTCAAGTTAGCTAAGCTTCTTTTAAAAATCATCTGTCTTCCCAAGGGAGTCGCAATTTATTCATCTGAAAACAATGCGGTATTCGTAAATTGGAAGTTACTAATAGCCCAGTGACTTCTTGTTTGCAACTGTTGTATTTCTAATCCAGTATTTTTGCTTCTGACGTGTGAATATTGTCCTAAAGGTAGAAAGACGATTTGTTATCGCACTTTATTATGTCGAAACACTTCTGATGTGAACTCTCTCCCTGATGTCAAAATCCTTTCAGCCACATTCCTTCACCAAACTTCCCATTTGCTGCATAAACTGCACTGCCCCTGTAAAGCACTTTGAGATGTTATTGTGCATAAGAGGCAATATTTAAGTGCAAGTTATTGTTGTATTTCTGGATAAGGTGGTAAACACTAGGGTTATTATTAGAGTCTTTTGCATTTTGAAATCACATAATGAATGTACCTTTTTTGCAATTACTCATATAACTCATGAGTTCCTTCTCATCTCAGGCTTATTAACTCCAAATCAAATTTAACTACAAATAGGTTCATTTAGGCAAGTCAGGTTATTAAACATGCCAGGGAAAATTAATATCTCTCTTGTGTAACTTATTCCTAAACTGGTGATGAACAGAATAAATAGACAATGATTTTCATTGTGTTCATGACTGTGACCATGAATATATTTATAATATTGGAGCATGGATCCATCACAATATTCTGTTGGACTTCCATATGGTATTGCTTATAGTGTGCTTGATTCACTGATGTGCACTGGTATCTCGTATTCTATTGTGCAATGTTACCTTCATAAAGCTTAGTTTTCATGCATTCTGATAGGAAAATTCAAAGTGAATTTGTCCCGAGAGTGGACAAATTCTACCCAACTGTTTTGCTCAGCACTGGGACCTGCACAAATGATATTAGGCTACAGCACTGCATTCTCTCTCACAGAGAAGTCATAATTCCAGTCTTATTCCGAGGCTGTTGTAATACTGAAGACAGAATCAGTGTGTGGTTTTCCCCCGGGATTTTAATTAACAGAGACCACAGATATTCACAATTACATTAAGAATCCCCCCCCAATTTAACTCTGTTCTCTCCTGAAGGGAGTGACTCAACAGCTGAAAGTGGCAGTCCTCTGGTGCCTTGCCCAGTGGCCGTCCCAACACCTACAAAACAGCAAATAACATTCATTATGGTCTTTCTCAAGACTTACCTATTTGACTACATTTTTGATCATCCTTCTCCGCCACACACCACTTCAGCTCCCACACCCAGCTCGGGTGCCAAGTCATTATTGTTAAACTCCATTGGGCATATGTCCTCCTAATGTGAAAGGCACTATATAAATGTATTGTATTAAAACATGATCCTAGAGATGTTCATCCAGGGGTATGATCACAGCTGAGCCTGAGCCTATTCTCACTGAATATCCACACAAGCACTTTCCAATATCAGAGTACTAGATTGTGATCAGGAGTAGGAACCCTGACTGATTTTTCTCCTTGTTATTACTGCCGTTCCAGCTTGGGACCATTGAACTTAATAAGATCTGGGAGTGATACTTGGCTTCCCTGGTCTGTATGGTTTGGAGTATCCTATTACATGGTGCACTTACTCATTGAGCCATCAGGAATCTCTTTAAGAGTTCTACTATATCAGTATGCTGATATATACCTGCAGTTACCTACGTTCCAGTTTATCTAGTTCGGCCCCCACACAGAAAGTGAGCGGAAGCCAGGTGACCTCTTACTCCCTCCCCACCTACTCTGGCTGGTTCAGGGATAGCATTAGCATAAAATACTGTCCTCTGGACTCACTGGGGCAAAGATACATACATTTCCAACTAAAAGTCTACCTCTTCGACAACACCATTACCCTCATGCCTACCCACATGGGCTCCCACTCTACCTCCGTGAAGCACCTTAAAACTAGTTTAGCCACTACCCTTCTCTGTGTGTCCTTGGTCTGACACCATATGTTCGTATGAGAAAGATGCTGTTTCTGTCTATCAAGAGAGTCCTAATCATTTCATTAGCAATCACATGTTAATCTCTCAGAAACCAGACATGATTCATTACACATTGACTAGTGTTCCAGTTCAGCTAGGTTTTCAAGACAATAGCAATGGGTGCGAATCAGGTTGCAAATTAAATACATTTGTTTAATGTCACCAATTCCCTTGTGTCTCTTTCAAAAAACATGTGCTGTTTCTACCATGGATGAGCCTTGATACATTGAGTTAATAATAGGAACAAAAATAATAATCTTTGCATTTGATGTAGTATCTTGTCACATTATTAAACAGTCACAAAGCCCTTCACAAGATTTGCTGGAATATGTAATGACTGTATTTGTAGGCAAACGTGGTAGTCGATTTATGCACAGCAATGTCTCACACACAGGCATGAAGTGAGTTACCAATTAATTTAAAGCAACAAAGATATGTTTGCATTATAAACAGAAATGCTGAAAACACAGGACATCTGAATTACATAGAATGTTTTATTCCAATTGGTGGAACCATCACTCAATGGGAAAAGACACGTGCCCAAGCTGCGGATAGGAAGATGGTGGCAATAGTCTCACACATTTCATGTTGAGCTTTGTTGCCCACCGGGAAGCTCGCAGAGAGTTCCTGGTACCTACCATCCACCCAGTGAGGGCTCAATCCCACCCTTCTCAAATATCAAATGACCAACTGGTGGCTATCCTCCTTGTGGAGAGAGGTAAGCGGGGACGGAACTGAACTGTGATGTGATATGTTTGACAACAGAATGTCGGAATTGAGCCCACCCTCTGTGATGGTCTTGGTAGTCCAATTGCTGAGCAAGGCAAGACCTCTAGGGCACTGTTGATGACAACACAGCCAGGTTCGCTCATCAGCAGGAACCGGAAGGTCAGACCAGTCACTGAGGGCAGGGACTCTTCCCTCTCAACTCCCGTTAACCCTGCAAACCAAAGCCCTAACGGGCAGGGTGGTCCCAGCTGGACAAGCAGCAGGAAAGTTCGCCAGTGCTTTCAACGGCAAGCTATGCGGTTTTAGCTGGTTAGACTCCAGGAGTACTCCAGGGCACACTCTGGAGTCCTCAAGACTTGGCTCAGAAACTTGTCTTTCCGAAATTAGGCAAACAAAATGCGTCCTTCCAGGAGACAGTGCACATTCCAATAAACATCCCTTGGAATTTCCATGTATAGGTTTGAAGCAAGCAACTCTTAGTTTGGCAGTTTTCACATCAGAACATCTCAAAGCGCTTTACAGGAATTTCATTGTAAATTGGAGTGACTGTGTTTTGTCGTTTTGTTCTTTTGCACGGAGAGAAAACAGTGACAACAGCAACAGGTTGCATTTATATAGTGTCCTTCACGTAGGATAGCATCTCGGACAAGTCACCCCGGGTCATTCCTGTACACTTCCTTGTAGTAGCACCGAAGATCTTCCTCTTCAACTGTGCCTACGGTCACCTCCTCCCTCTCCCCGGCTCGGCGTTGGGTTTCGCCACTGTTAAGCATTCCGAGACGCTGCCCCACGTGAAGAGAGTTATATAATTGCAAGTTGTTTCTGTAAGATTCCTCGAATAGGTCAAATGGCTTCTCATTCATTTGAGGACTAGTGGAGATATGATCAACGCAAAATAAGATCAAAATGTGAAATTATAATTTTATTCCTTAAGCCTTAAAAGCAAATTGCAGAATCATTTTGTTTGGCTTCCCTTATATGAGCTTAGTTTTTTTGTGGGGGTTAAATAGTGTTTCACTTTTTGGTTGTAATCCTGTAGAGCTGTTGCGAGCTACATACATAGAGAGCATTGCACCTCTACATTTTGGTGTGCTGATCAAACCTGTTATGAAACATTAGATTTTCCCATCTATAAGAAGCTATAAGCATCAAATTGTTGGGTACAAATTCCATGCAGTGTTATGTGCATTGCTTTTGGCAGGGTCAGCCACTAATGGGAAATTCTATTATTGCGCACAATGCTGAATGGGATTTTAACCCCATGTAAGTTGGCATTTAAAAACACTAACATACAATTGCACACATGAAGGAGAAGGGAATAGAAGGGAATAGAATGGGAGAGTACATCAGAAAGGGGTTGGAGTAGACAGTAAACACCAGCTGTTTGGGCTGAGTGTCCTGTTTCCGTGTTGTAAAGATCTTTGAACACAGAATATGAATTTAAATTGTTTGAGCTTCAGATTTCGAAGTGGTGCTGCTCTGCAGAATGAGAAGTACAGAATTTCAGAATTCTTCTGGCACAGCAAATGTATTATGTAAGGTATAGGGTGCAATAGGCAATTATTCTATCTATAGCCTAAGGGGAAATTGGAGTCAGTTAAACTATTCCCTGGACAACTTTATATGTTTGTTGTGGAATTTTTCCTTTAAATTTGAAATGAGTCATTTTCTGCCATTCATTCTGCTGCAGACTTTTTTCCCCCAACGTTAAACCTTTATGACACACTTGCAGAACTTGTGTTTAACACTGTTAGCAAACTTGAAGCGCTCCGAGACGCTAGGCTGCGTGAAGTGCGCTATATAAATGCAAGTTATAGTTGTTTCTGTTGAAGAACTATTTAATCTGGTTTTAAATGCTGTATTCCGCTGTGATATTTGAATCCTCTATCAATGTGGGGTTGATTTCCCATATCACTACATAAGAAATGATCACGGAAAATAGACGGAAAGCGGGTTTAATATAAATTGTATTTTTATTGCAGATAAAGTACCTTATTTACATGCTGCCACAAGCCATAAAAGAGATCTATCAAATATTCCCCGGTGGATGCCAGAGTGCCATCAGATATAACAAGCACATAATACAGCGTACAGGATACAGCCTCACTCACTATACAACTCAGTACGGTCCAAATGCTAAAGGTCAGACATTCAGCAAGATGTCAGTCCTACCAGTCAGTTTGCATGCATATAACACAGAAGCAAATATATGAGGTTACTGATTTAATCCCTTTGGGTGCTAAGTACTGCAGAGCTAAAGACAGTTGAAGATTTAGGATTTAATGGAGTCTGAGTCTTTTTTAAAGCCGTAACACCTTTAAATAAATATCCACAAAGAAACTGGTATAAAAACCTAAGATTGTCATGGACAAGGACGACAATAAATGCTCATATTCAGTGATTAGGGAGTGGGAAGGAGCCAGTTAATACAAACAAAGCTGAGGTTGATTATATTTTGCCAAGCTAAGTAGGACCACCGATTCTACGATCAGCGGTGACTAAGTGCACTAGGAGTAACCTGGGGAAAAAACACAGGAACCCACTACTTCATATAAAAATTCTTGAAACTATTAATACCAAACTATAATTCTCAGGGAGAACGTAAGAATGTCAACACCGGGTTAAAGAAAAGATTCACAATATAAATCACACTGAATTGCAATAGTATTTCAAAAAGGTTATGGCTTGTCGGCCACGTCTAAACTCACTGTTGTCACATTATTGGTTAATAACTAGAAGGAAAGGGAATTTCCCATTGTTCAGAGTAGGTGTTTCAGGCTGGAATAACAGTACATGACCATTGCATAAATTAGATTAGTTCTGCCACATAAGTGCTTTCTAAATACTAGATCATTCCCGAATGCATTTTGATCTGACAGAAAGAGTTCTTGTTTATGTGTATGAGAGAAAACTGAGGAAATGAGGAATTGGCATACAAATTGGGATCTTCACTGGATTCCTGCCTTCACTGTTTCTGTGTATTTTGTTACAAAGTTCTTGAGACTGATATGGAATTTGCAGTTATAGGCTATGAAAACGTTTAGAGATCCGGTTCATTGTCACACATTGTTTCCAGATGTTTGGTCATCAAAATCCCAAGGACAGATTGAAGCCATCTTCGATTTGTCTACAGCTGTGCCGTGCGCATTTTTATTGTCCTTAACAGCAGCTGTGCTTCTTTCTATTGCATGACTCGTGGGGACGGTAGTTGCAGCCTCCCAAGGGCACACTTCAGCAGGTTTGTAATTCTCTGTTTCTGAATCACAGGCGGTCGTACCTTTGATCTTACCATCTACAGAACCAGGGGTTACCATAACCTCCCAGGAATATTTTTCAGCTGCTTTAGCTTTGGTTGCTGGTACTTCTGCCACTTTTACTTTGTTGTCTTTTTCCTTTTCTTTGTACTTGCCCTTTACTTTCACCTTATTGTCATCTTTTCTCTCCTTGATGCTTTCAGGGTCCTTTGCTTTTCCAGGGGACACCAGGGTTTTCACAGATAAGCTAAACCCCTTCACCGCTGTCTTCTTCTGAGGGATGCTGCTTAGCAAAGCGGCCGACGCAGTTGAAGCCGGGCTCTTTTGCATTTCCGCAGAATCTGGTGGGTCATAATCCCACGGACAGACATCCACCCTATTAACAGAAGATTGGTGTGTGATACTGCCTGTTGTTACAGGCTCTGAAGTGACCCCCTTGTCCTTTCTATCTCCCGGAGATCCTCCTCTTTTCACTTCCCCTCTTTCAATCTGACCCATGTCTGAAGCTTCAACTCCAGCCTTAGATGGCATTTCCTCAGCAAAATTGGCTCCATTATTTGAGTCCCCGTCTTGTGAAGTCGGAAGACTTTCAGGCTGATTGATTTCTGGCGGGGCTGCCTGCACCTCCTCAGTGTCCCAGGGACACACTTCCGATCTGTCAGCACTGCCTTGGCTCAGCTGTCTCTGCTTGGCAACACTCTCTGACACCTTGTGCTTGTTGGCGGACTGCATTTTGGCATTTGAATGGGAACTGTGAATACTCTGCGATTCCACAGGAGCAATAGATACATGTTTTTGAACTTTATTTTCGGAAGGAGTCGGAGGCTGGTCTTGTATTTCCCACGGACAGACCTCTGCTCTATTGAATAGATCATTCTGCAGGGAGTTTGCCGAGTCTGGACTAACAGTAGACTGGCTACTTGCATGTTGTTTCATTATTCCAGCTTTTGGAGCTTTTCGTGCCTCCTCGGGAATTGAAGAGTAGCTCACAGAACTTTTGGGTTGGGATGTGGCCATTTCATTGCTATCAGATGGAGAGTGACATTTGTTTGTGTCCCTAACTTTCTGCTGTCCTTTATGATGCTTTGAATGTTCCTCCAAGCTTTGCGCTTTGCCTGTTATGCCCAGCGTCTTTTCCTTTGCACTGGCAATGACGCTGAGGGATTTTTGCAGCATGGATGTTCTGGGGTGCAAGGGCTTTTTGTCCAAACTTAAGTTGTGTGCACTAGCAGATTTGCACACAAGAGGGACTGATTCAGTGGAGACATCATCTACTTCCTCATTGGTCTTTTTAACCAATGGTTTTCCCATTAATGAATCTAACAGCCCGACCTCTGTGCTGGAAATTTCCATCTTATCTGACACAGACATGCTGGAATCTTCACCCTTATCTCTTACGTGGTCATAGGTACTGAGAGATCTTTGTAATGTCAAGCCTTTATTTTTCAGAGAGTCTTCTTTTGCTTTCAGACTGGAGCTCGCAGGGTCGAATGGGTTCTTCCTACAAGTACTGATACTGTTCCTGGGCACTGTAGGGTCTGTCTGCTCCTTATCTTCTCGGCTGTATTGCCTACTTACTGTCTCTGGGATCTCAGTGATACGCCTCATGATTGAACGTCCTAAACCCTTCTTGGAGCTCCTCTTCTTTTGCAGATGTGGGTTATTGGCAGTCATCTTTTTCCTTTTGTAGATCTCCAGCTGTGCATATAGTTTCTTCAGCTCATCCTGCAAGCGGGAAACAATAAAAGCTTCTGAGTTACCATTTGAACACAGTACAGACCAGAAACCATATAACATGTAGTGCACAATCTGAACAGTGTGAAGCTGGGGACCCAGCACTATTCCTGGGGGACATTACTTGTCACTACACCAATCAGAAAACATCCTTTTTTTTACTAACGCTCTGCCTCCTATCCCTCAACTAATTTCCTCTTTGTGTCACAATATTACCTTCACCGCCACATGCCTTAATTTTAACTGTTCATTTTTATGTGGCACTTTAATGCTTTCTGAAAATCTACAACAATGGCATCAATTGATAGTCCCCCTTTATCATCACTGGTTTCTGTCAAAGAATCCTATTAGATTTGTGAGATAAGCAAGTTTCCTTACTCCACATGCCTGATAATAATCCCTCAAGAAAAGAAAATTAATAAATTGGTCATTTCAAACCATGACTGTTTGTGGGACACTGCTGTGCGCAATTGGCTGCTGCATTTTGCCCACACAAAAAAATACAGTCAATTCACTTTACAGTCTATTCTGTGAAGCGTTTTGAGACGTCTAGAAGACATGAAAAGCGCTATATCAAATGCAAGAATTATTATTATTATTATTAAAAACATGCCATCACTTTCCAAAACAAATAAGGAATGGCAATCTGAACAATGAAAACACATGCTGATCGAGATTTGCAAAAGTCTACATCCCATTTTGTTAGTCTACATAGACTACTCCTCAGTACTAATTGATAATTGTTTCAAGCAACAATTAATTTCCATTACCCGACATTTCTATCAAGTTCAATATTATTTCTTGAAAAATTACTAAATGCATTTCTGTCAATAGTCTCCCATTAACTTTTTTACAGTGAGGAGTCATACATTAAAATCTTAAGTCACGTAAAAATCTTTTATGCTGTACAAGGCTTTCGTAAAACATAGTTAGAAGTTTACAATGCATTAGCTATAATCGGATCAGTATATTAACAAGCTTTTGGACACAAATGTGGATTAACAAAAGCAATATTATCCGTTCACAAAGTGTATTCTAAAACTTGGCTCAAATTGGATGTTTTTAAATGGAAGTGAAATAGCAACTAATCATTGTGGCACCAAGCCTGGGTATTGCTGCACGGCTGATAGGAAGATCCTATCTATCCTGGCTGATGAATAGATCTCATCACAGATGGTTCATCCCACTGAGTCTGCAGTGAGCAACTTTCTGAACACAAGTAACACAGCTTTTGCTCACTTTGGTGTATTTTCCAATAAGACACCACAGTCATTAACAGTACTGAACCAGCCGATTTCATCCGTTGTCTGCAACAAGAAAAACGGAACTGGCATGGCTTGCTGTTTAATGATTGGAAGAAATCGTTCTTTCGGGCTGAATTAAGAACCTAATTATCAGCAAAAGTGAAGTGAAAATTTCATTCTTACCCTGATGTCATCTGGATCTAGACTGTGCTCACTCCAGGCTGATGTAATGCTGCTGTTTAGGTAGGACCCGGACCTCCCCATGTCTAGTTCATCTTCATAGGCTTCTGTTGCAATGTCATCTCTCGGACTCATGCCTGCGTGAAGAAACTAAGTAAAGAAAGTAAATCATTAGTATTTTAAAATTACTCTGTTTCTTTTGCTCACGGCCTCCACTGCCCTACCTGTGCAAACTGCTACCACCCTACTGACCCAGCCACTCCCTTTGTTCAGCAAACACTGGCGTGCCCCCACCATCAGCTGGTGAGCTTTCAGCCATTATACCCCTGCTCCATCCTGGAATCCCTCCAACTCGCTCTCTTCCTCCCCACATTCAAAGCCGATCTCAAGACATACTGCTTTAACCATGCCTCATCTTTCCCTTCCTCACCCACTTCAGCTCCCACCCTCCAGCTCGGCAGCTGTTCTCCGCCTTCACCGTTTGGAACTCCATCCCACAGTCCCTTCGCCTTGCTCTATCCCTTGTCTCCTTCAAGGCCCATCTCAAGAGCCTCCTCTTCAACCGTGCCTTCGGTCACCCTCCTACCCCTACCCTCCCTTCCTGATCCCAACCACCAGCACGGGTACAAATTGCTCACTGTTCCATTAATACATTAATAAAGCTCCTTGGAATGAACTCCCGATGTGAAAGATGCTATACAAATGTAATTTGTTGTTGTTGCCCAGCCAGCAGTGTGTAGCACTTTGGAACGTCCTTCTGACGTGAAAGGTGAAATATAAATATAAATGGTATTGTATTCACAATATACGATTTTCACAGAACTATTCTTCCATCTCCGAGCAGCAAAGAAAGTGCACGCAGCATGTGTCTAAACTAACTGCTAGCTTCACAGTAGAAAATAACAGACTCATAAATAAACACTCCCCTAACAACTACAGTGCCTTTATTTAAGATATTGAAACTAAGCAATTTATTAAATCTAGACTAAGTAATTAACCAATCTGTTGTTTGCGTGATATTCAGGCATTGGTCACTGGTGCAGAACTGCAGGATATGTTAAAATAAGAGAGTTTCTCCCTGTGTCCCGGCCAACAATCCCTGAAATAAAATTGGTCACGCACTTCTCTGGCTATTTGTGGGACCTTGCTGTGTGTAATTGCTGCATTTGGCTACAAATACACAGTCACTACACTTTACAACAAAATCCTGAGAAGTGCTTTGAGACATCTCGATAGCGTGATCAGGCGCTAAAAAGCTACATCAAATGCAAGAATAATTCTTAAATAATTTACACTGTTGTTGAAATACACTAAATTACAATCATCCTTGTATATTTGGAATTGGTAAAGAAATTATACTTTATTCTCAAGGAGTCAGTATGGCTAAATTGTTACATCAGGTCAACAATGTAATCGAATATGCCGTTCTTTCTTCATTGCCATTTAGCCTGCGATGGACATCTGAGTCTGTGCATCTGTACAATGCTATTGAAATAATGGTCCAAGTCAGAACAATGGCTCCACTTAGATGGGTGAACGGCCATAATAACTGTTAACGTAATTCAGGATCCTTTAATAGCAGTTCAAATGTTTCTCAAAATGTAATTGGCTGAACATACTCGCAGGTCATATAATTATATGAACGTGAATGTGAATGGAGAATTAATTAATACATACGATACATTTTATTTTAAAGGATCAACGAGCATTTTTAACAACGCTTTGAAATGCATAAATATTGCACTTACAGCTAGACTACAAACTAAATGACCTGTACTTACAGGTCATTTATTTGTTTTAATTCACTGTGGCATAATTTGAACTAAATTTCTGTTTTATATACCTAAATTAATTTGTTGCATTTATGTTCAGTTGGAATAAATTGAAATAATTCAATCTGATTAATAAAGCAATTTAAATTCTTCTTTGCCTGTTAGTTTTTAATCATTTTTAAAATATTCACAGCAGACTTGCCTGCTAGCTCATTTGGTAAAATACAACACAAGAATAACAACAACAAATTGCATTGATACAGCGCCTTTCATGTCAGGAGGGTGTCTCAAGACGCTGGACAGTTAGAGGTTTGCACCCAAGCCAGGGGTTGAAATGAAGACCGTGGTGGGCTTCAAAAGTGAGGATGAGGATAAAAACTGTACAGTACAGTGTGCAATTGAGCTAGATGGATGAGGAAGAAAAGATGAGAGAAGATATTTCAGACCTTGTAAACCTTCCACAATTTGTAAAGCAATGTCCCCGAGACTTTCTGAAGTCTGGAGTGATTGAACTGTGCTTATAACTTAAAATAGAGGCGATTGTAGGCATGAGCTTAAGATCATTGGAACATGGGAAAACCGGAACAGGAAGAGATCATTCGGGCTATTGAGCCTGCGGATGACACCCAACTCTACTTCTCTGCCTACACCCTTGACTCCAGGACCACTGCTGTCCTGACAGAATGTTTGTCGAACATCAAGTCCTGGATGAGAGCTTCAGTTGAACATCAACAAGACCGAGGCTCTCCCGATTGGCTCCCGTCAGCGCCTCCTCACCTCAGGCGCTGACAGCATCATCATCCATGTTTGCACACTCCACCGTGCTAAGCCAGTCTGGAACCTTGGGGTCTTGTTTGACCCTCAATTATCCTTTCTACCCTGCAGATGCGCCATGACCCACTTTGCCTTCCCCCACCTCCGCAACATCGCACAGCTCCAGCACTGTCTTACACCGCAGGCGGCCGAAACCTTCACACACGCCTTCATTACGTCGAGGCTGGACTATGCAAACTCATTGCTTGTTGGTCTCCCCAACTCCTCCCTCCATAGGCTGCAGATCATCAAGGACTCTGCAACCCGCGCCCTCTCCCGCAGACTCCGTGACCCTATCACCCTCATCCTCGCCCGACTCCACTGAGGATCATCACACAGAGGATATAGCCCTTGATCCTGGTCCTCACCTTCAAAGCCCTCTATGGTTTTACTCCGCCCTACCTCTGCCACCTCCTAACACCCTACCATCCTGCTCGCTCCCTCCGCTCAGCAAGCTCCGGTCTGCTTCACGTCCCCCGTCTTGCTCGCCCCACTATTGGAGTGTGGGCCTTCTGCCACTCTGCACCCACCCTCTGGAACTCCATCCTGCAGTTCCTCCACCTCACCCCCTCTCTTGCCACCTTCAAGACCCATCTCAAGACCCTCCTCTTCGTCTGAGCTTTTGATCTCCCTGCTTTCCCCCTGACCTCCGCCTGACCTCCACCCCGACCCCGACCCCCAGCTCCGGTCCGAAACTCTGTCTGTCCAGCGCCTTGGGACGTCCTCCCGACCTGAAAGGTGCTATACAAATGTAATTTTGTTGTTGCTGTTGTTGTTCCAACAGTTTATTCGATCTTGGCTAATCTTGGTTGATTAATGGATCAGCCAACATCTAATAAACTGTTGGAACAGGTCCAATTCTTTACCATTCACATTGACCTTTCACCATTCCCCTTTTAATACTCTACCTTTTCATTAGTCCCCTTAATAACTCTACAACCAAAATATCTGTCTTTCTTTTAAACATCTCTATTGAATCCGCGTTTTCGAATTTGTGGCTGAGCTATATTTCAAAGGTAGAGCAGAGAGGTTTATTGCTGTGCTTTACTTACTGTTAAAGTGCTTGAATTTGAAATGATTGGCTAAAAATGGGAAAGTGTTTCATTTCCTACCCTAAAATCATTCACTCCGATGGATATAAAATTCATTAAAAATACACAAAAAAAGATAGATTTGTAATTCATAGAATCATAGAAATGCATGACACAGTAGGGGGCTGTTCATCTTGTGTTTTTGTGTCCGTGTTTGCATCTATAAGAAGCCATCCATTCGAATCTCAATTCCCTATTTTTTCCCATTACCCACTGATACTTTTTAACTAACATGAACTTGAAAATTGCCTCAATTGACTTTGCTCTAATAGCAAATCATTCCCTGCCCCGATAATAACAATCCTTGCATTTGACATAGCGCCTTATCACATCATTGAGACATTTCAAAACACTTCACAGAATACACGGCAAAGTAAATTGGTTGTACATTTTGTGGGCGAGATGTGGCAGCCAAATTTGGCTGGAGAAGAACTGCTCCTTTTACTCGCCCTTGCCAAAATCTCAACAATGTGGTAAATCATATATTTGACACAGCTTTGCTACAGTTTAGGAAACATAATGTAAAACCTCAGTAAAACCTGAAATTATATTTTTAAAACCAAAAGAAACAAGACATTTCTTGGTCAGCAATGATCAGGGGAGTAAACCAATTGGTGATAATTGCTTCACCAAAGTGTATGTTCTGTCACAAGCCTGAGACTGTAAGGTAACATCTAATGCAATCTGTATGAAATGGAAGCATTTTCATGATCAGATTGTCTTTTGTAAGGTCAAGCCCGCTGAGCCAAACTTCAAAATGAGTATTATAAAGGCTGTGCGCAGAGCTGCACATTATTGAACGGTTGACAGAACAGTACGCAGCTTGGCTTGCAGACTGCGTGAAAAATTCATTACCCTTGTGTTTTTAAACAAACTGTTTGTTTAGGTCAGAATCCAATGATGATTTGCACTCATCTGACCTGAATAAAACATTTCAGAGGGTAAGAGAATTCAATATGTCAGCTTAGTTCAGCTAGCAGCACTCTTGCCACTGAGGCAGAAGGTTGTGAGTTCATCCTTATCCTGAGCTAGCTTATAGTCTAGGCTATATAGACTCTAATATAGTGCTGGGGTACTTCTGCATTGTCAGAGGTGCTGTCCTTCAGATGAAATGTTTAACCAGGTTCTCACCTCCTTGTTCAGCTGGGCTTTAACGATACCATGGCATCATTGAAATAAGAGAAGTTACCTTCTCCCAGTGTCCTGGCCAACAATCCCAAGCATTAAATTGGTCATTCTCTTTGTGGTTATTTGTGGGAAATGGATGTACGCAAATTGGCTGCCGAGTTTGCCTATAAAATACACAGTAACTGCACTACAGTAAACCTTTTGAAGTGCTGTGAGATATTCTCCTGATGTAAAAGGCACTATATCAAATGCAAAGTTTATTATGATTATAACGTGTGCTGGACCCTTGTACTGGAAGGAACCCTACCTCAGACACTTTGGCCACAATTACAATACCTCATTATTCACAATTTGCTGTCAAATGTTTGTTCTTGTGTAAATGAAGCAAGCAAAAGACAATTTAACAAACAATGAACTACAGTAAAACCTTGGGTTACTGGACTCGAAGTGTCTGGAATTTGTACCTATCTGGACCAGACCCGAAATGGAAAAATTAAAATAAACATTTCTGGGAGCCCCATGTAGCCTCCTACCAACCCAACTCTCCTAGCCCATGGCTCCTGCCTCACCATGCTCGCTGGTCTTCAGTGGCCAGGGATAGCCACCTTGACTCAGTTTGAATCCCGCAAGCAGATGATAGCGAATAAGCTATCTTCTGCTTGTGGGATTCAAACAATGACATGTCGGTACCAACATTTACCGGCATTTTTCGGCATTGAAAAAAGCCGGAGCTGAAAAATGCGGGTAAATACTGGCATGGTAATTACACTTAGCCAGAAATTCCCGATTCCCACCCCCACCCCACCATTAGTTTGGTTAATGAGGCCAGGAGAAAAATAAGCTTGATGCTGTGGTAGGCTGTTCGGAAGGATGAGATAAGTTGGGCTGAAAGGCGTTTTTCTCTTGTTATCTTGTAATACTTGATGGCCATCGATTTGAGCGAAGTAGAACGTTTCAGCTGTTGTAAACCTTTAACTATTCTACTAAACTTTTGAAGTTTCAAATAAAAACTTTTTGAGCCTTGTTGAAAATTCTTCCGGAATTCTACTGCATCATTTCAGGAAAACTGAGGATACAGAAGTGCGAGAACTGTACAAACCTCAGGAATTGATAATAAGCATTTTATGGTGAACTCAAATGAGATCATCTCTTATCTATGTGAGTGAATCGGGGAATGTTTGCATGAAGATTAGTACAAGTAGATCGGGAGCAGCCAAATTTAGCATGAAATAGAATTCAGGATGTGTATACCGTGATATTAATAATTTAGATAGCTTTTGAGTTATAAAAGATATACGGAACATCCAATTATCTGCACCTTCACTTTGCACAGAATATATCAGGATTAGTTTTTTTTAAAAATCAACAGTAATTTGGGGAATATTTCTTTCCATTAGCATGAAACAGTACCATTCTAATTGGCTTTTTAATTCCTTCTTGATACGAATTCTAACGAATCCTTCAAGTGCACTGTAAAATGTTAATGGAGCAGTTAGGATGAACACATATCAATTTGATAAATGTTAGTGCTGGAAAATGGAACGCATTCTCATTTCAGGCACTCACTCCATTTGTGAGTAAATGTACCAAGTTTAGCAGGTTTGCTCATTATAAGGTCTCACCATGAAGGGTAGCAAATTTACCAATGGAGAATAAGATGCACTGAGTGCCACTGATGATGCAGCAAGTTTACTGACAATACTGACAAGAAAAGAATAACAAAATCTACCTGTTTGACTGTGCCTTCCCCCTCTCTCATTCCTGTTTCCCCCTTTATTGTAAAGTATTCAAACACATTGTTCGATCTGAATGGCGCGATATATACATAAACATATATATAGGAGCTATAAGATAGTTATGAAATGAGCAAATGGGAAAGTTAGGAGGAATATTTTTATGAAGATTAGTTGGGATATGGAATGCCTTACTGAGAGCGGTAGCTGAGGCAGAATCCATATTAGTTTTCAAAGGGGAACTAGATAAATACATAAAAAGGAATAAACTGAAGGGGTATGGGGAAAGGCAGATAAAAAGGACTGAAAGGATTATTCTTAAACGATCCAGCATAAACATTATGGGCCGAACGGCTTTCTTCTATTTCTATAGTTCTGTAAATACAAGTTGTTTCTATGAATGAATGAATGAATGAATGAATGAATGCAATAATATCTAAACATTGTGCAGCTTAAGCATATTAATTTACAGATACGACAAGTCAGCAGTACCTTTGGGATCAGAAGCAACCCCAGAGTCACAGTCACAGTCAAATGTGTGTGAGCAAAGAACAGCATGAGCATCCAATCACCGTGTAGACTTGACACCAGCATAAACCTGCAAAGAGAAACCCAATTTTACCATTAAAATTCCTTTGAAACGGAGCCTAACTTCATGTGATTTACTGTAATAAAATATTTTATGTGGATTAATTTATTATAGAAACTTAGTTTACAATACATATTTAGCTACTGCACCGTTATACAACAGTTCCAACGTGAAAGGCACTATATAAATGTCAACTGCATTGTGTTGGAGGTGACATGATTCTCTCTCGATGTTCATTTAACAGCTTTTGAAATTGACTTTTATTTATTTTCTCTGATTTTCCACTTCGCCTTGCTTTCTTTCAATCCTTCCTGTGTTTCTATCTGCATAGGTAAGTGGTCCAAGACACTATCCTGCATGAAGGGCGCTATATAAATTGCTGCTATATAAATTGCTGTTGTATTTGTTTTGCAAACCTGGTTTGTCCATCCTGCAGTAAAAGCAAATATTACCACCAAAAAAACACTGAAATATTTTAGCATGCTGGACTTGGCTGTGATATCAAGCAATTATATTTTGGGGACATATCTTAAAACACAATATAATTTATATTGTGCCTTTCATATCAGGGGGTCGTCTCAAAATTATTTACACAGCTGGCTGGTCACCAAGACTGGGGAGAGGGCTGAGAGCAAAAGGGGCCGGGGAGCAAAAAGCTATCATAAGCGCTATGCTTCTCTCTCATTTTGCATAGTGACCTGCTTAATGTGCACTGGTTCCAAACTCATTAAAATACAAGTGGCTCTTTAATACTGCAGCAGTATTGACAGTGATAACACACATACTCTCAACTTCATTGTGCCGAGACTCAAACCTCAACATTGAGACACCAATGCACGTCCACTCTAACCTCATTATTGCACACTATCTCTTTCATTAACATATAATGAACCTCATTATTATGCATTGACTTCCACCTCATGTTCACTAACCCTAAAATCTCTGATAAACTCTTCCCTAACCTTAGAGTCACACAATTCTCTCTTTATTAATGTGTACAAGCCCTAGCCTCACTGATAATGCACCATTCTCAACTGCATAAACTGCACTGACCCTACCCAACCCTGTTAATATATACTACTGCCAGCCTCATGAATATAAAATGTTATTTTAAGAACTACAAATTGATAGGACCATAGACATTTACAGCCAGGAGGAAGGCCACATTCAGCCCATCATGTCTGTGCTGGCTCCTTTAAGAGCAATCAATTCAGTCCCATTTACCTGCCTTTTTCCCAATACCCTGCAAATTATTCCTTTTGATATATCTATCTAGTTTCTTCCCGAAAGCCCAGATGGATCTGGCATTAACAACAGGTTGCATTTATATGGTGTCCTTCATGTAGACTAACATCTTGCGTGCTTTAAGCCAAGCAGGGAGGAGGAGAGAGGGGGAAGGGGGAGATGACCATAGACACGGTCAAAAAGGGAAGTTTTGAAAATCACCATATCACCAGTTTATGCTTGTAAACAGCCAGTGCAATACGGACAGATAAGGGCCTTGCTGTTTGGCACTTGTGAGATCCCGTGAGTGTTATGCTTCTTTCCTGTTGTGTTCTTGATCAGCCTCAATCAGTCACAACCAAAGACAGCTTTTGGCATCAGTCCCATTGCTGCTCTGCTCCCAGGAGAATGACAGATGGTGCCATTGCAGTTGAATAAAGAGGATATGAAATGTAGCAAATTGCATTTTTTGGTATTCAGAAGCTAATGAGCAAAGGAATTTCGATAAAACTGCAAGCACAGATTAAAAACTATCAATTGTAATAGCCCAAATGTGACTGCCTTGTGCTCTTTTAACTGCCATGTCTCTTACAGATATGCAGAATGTGCAAGTACCAGAAAAACCTTTCCAGTATCATGACTTATTCAGATGTATAGATAAAAAATATTGTTAAACCATTTTTTTGTGGGCGTCTGATATGCACTGGTTTCAATTGGGATTCCTTAATAAAGAACCTTAGTGGAAACTCTTTCTGGTAACTGGATACACTTCACACCGACCATAGGAACTCTGCTCTGTAAATCAATTGTGTTGAGTTGAGTTTCTTATGGTTCAGGGTGGGATACAATTCCAATTTTCTTGTTGAGTAAATCCATTTGAATTTGCTACATAATACGCCATTATATAACCAGGATAATTTGACCAACTGGATAATCCATGGGAACCACCGACAACTGATTCATAACAACAGAAACTCATGGGTCATATATGGACGTGAATTGTGGACTCTTGGAAAAAGATTGTAAAACTATCATAGCATAAAAATGTATTCTAAAGGGCTGTTTTACACCAGTTATAATAAAATATCATATTTTGCTCACAAAATGTACAGTCAATTCACTTTACAGTGTATTCTGTGAAGCATTTCAAGACGTCTCGAAGACATGATAAGACGTTATAGCAAATGTAAGGATTAATATTATTATAGTGTCTGATTTCTGGTTATAAGGGCAAAAACACAAGGTGTGATTCTCCAGTCACAGTTAAGTTAATGCGTGTGAGCCTTCTATTGTCTCTATGGAAGTGCACAGACCTTGGAGTTGCTATAAGTTTCATTGCCAAGGTCTTGCAGTTAATGGACCAGTGGAACATTCAATGTTCTCATTCTCTGGAAACTTACTGGCGAATGGATAATCAGCACTGGGTATTTAGTATTGCGATTGTAGTCAGTATTGCGATTGATCCTGTAATTCAGGGCAGAACTGCCTGAACTAATATAATCCATCAGTGCTTGAGAATTTGAACAATGTTTTAGCAATGAATATATCACTTTAATTTTTGAACTGGGTTATGAATATACAATATTTAATGCTGTGAGTATATAATTGGGAAGGAATCTAACTCACCTATGTGGAAAAGCTTTGCACTAACAGAAGATGGTTAAATTGGAAGTGACATCCCTCAACATTCAGTCCAAGCTAATTTATAAGATTTCCACCTCCTCTCAATTCCCCTCCTGCAGCTCGGGCTCCCAGTCAGCTGCGGAAAGCACTTTGACACCTCCTCCCAATGTGAACAGAGCTATATAAATGTAAATTGTTGTTTTATAAATTGAAAATACACAGAAAGTATTGAATACATGGAATAGACTAACCAGGGAGGCAGGCAGACAAGGCAGATTGTGTCAGCAAATTCAAGAGGGAATTAGATCACTATTTGGTGAAAGGATTGATTGAAGGGATGAGAGTTAGAGAAATGTAGAAGTCTTTATTTCTTTATTATTGATAACTATTTGACTTTAATAGACATAGAGACAGTAATGATTCTTTCCAATCACGATTATTCCTAAAATCCTAAATTGAAGCTTTTGCAGTAGTTACTGGGATCAGGGATTCCTTCCACTTAACTCTGTAAGCCAAAGCCAAATGGGTAGGGTCGTCCTAGCTGGACAAGCAGCGAGAAGCTTGTCAGACAGTTCTCTGAATGGCAAACTATGTGATTTTTAGTTGGATAACCTGCAGCAGTACCCAACACACACTCTGGGGTCCACAAGGCTTGGCTTGTGTCAAGCTGCGCTGAATAATCTCTAGAATTAGTTAAGCAGGTTACATCCCTCTGGGCAGAGAGGGCACATTCCATTCCAGACACATGGAAATTTCCATGTGCAGGTAGCATACAAATGTGTTAATACTGAAATGTGTGTGAAACAGAATGAGCCTTCTTTCTTTATTTGAAAAAATAGCATTCTTAATAGATATTCAGGTAAATGTTTGGGAAGNTTTTTCTTGCTCATTCAATCAGTTAACTTAACTGGAATTGATCCAGAGATATTAAGTTCAATAACATTTTTCAATTCTGTACTTATTATTTACTGACTTTGATGTCTTTCAACTGGTTCAAATCAAATACTGCAACCAGATTTGATTTTCAGATTTAGTAAATAAATGACTGGTCTGAACTATTATTAATAATACGAAAATCTATGAACAATGTGGTACGTATTTACTTGGCATCAATCCTTTGATGCTTATTCTTCTGTTGTCAAACAAATTATTTGAAAAGACTGAAAGCCTTTCCTTCAGTTTTGTACATATTCTTTCATGCTATACTCTGCTCTCTGGAGAATTATAAGGATCTTTCTGAAGTAGTGTTGACTTGAAAGAAATGTCACATTGCTAAAAGTTAAACTCGGATGATTCATCAACGCTCAATTATTCTGCAACCACTGTGACAAACTAGTGTCTTTGTTAGAATGGTGAATTGTCAATTATACAGCCAGCCCTGTTAATAATAATCCTCACATTTGATATTGCACATTTCATGTCAGGAGGACATCTCAAAACGTTTCACAGGATTTGCTGTAAAGTGTAGTGACTGTGTAATTTTGTAGGCAAAACGTAGCAATCATTTGCGCACACCAATGATCCATGAACGGCAATGAAATGAATCACCATTTTTAACTGGGAGATGGGATTCCAAGAGAAACCCACTTCTCTTTTTGAATAGTGCCACAGAATCTTTAACGTTTACCTGAACAGGCAGACGGGATTTCGGTTTAACATCTCGTCCAACAACACAGTACACTCCCAGCACTGTATTGGAGTGTTGGTCTAGAGTTCGTAGTCCCGATGTGGGGCTTGGACCAACAACCTTCTGACTTAGAGACAAGAGTGCTACAAAGTGAGCCAGGCCGACACCTAAGCAAAGCAGTGCACTGAATGTACAAACATACATGCTAAACCGCTGCCTTAATCTCAAGAGATCACAAGAGAAGTTGGGATGAAGAAGGCCTTTTGGCCCATTTGACCTCATCCTTCCAGAATGTCTACCCTCGCTTCCTTCCAATACAATAACAAGCTGGTTCTTAAGTATTTTCAAGGTCCAAGCTTCAGCCACCCTTCTGGGCAACCAATTGTAGTCATTAATTACCATCCAGGTAAATAAACACTTCCTGGCATCTGTTCTCAAATTGGCTCGTTGCAACGCTAGACCTGTGCCCTCCTGTTTTGCTGCCTTGTGCTGCCTTGGGGTATCTGAACATTTAATACTATCGAAAAGCTAGCAG